TTTAGGGTTCAGGGTTTAAGGGGTCAAGGGTGCGGGATCTAGGGTTTAGGGTTCAGTGTTTAGGGTTTAGGGAGCTACTGTCAGAGTTAGGGTAACAGTTCCATTATAGAATTGCTCTATTGGAGAGGATTTCATACGCTTTGCGTTAGGCCTCCATCCGCTACTAGTGGTAGGGAGTTTAGGGTTTGTTTAGGGAGGCCAGCCGCTTTTGAGTTTAGCTTATGGTTTGGGGTGTCGTTTTAAGGAAACGGGTCTGGAGTTTACTCTAGGGTTTAGGGTTTAGGGCTCAGTTTAGGCTTTAGGCTTTAGAGGAGGTTATTTTAGGGTTTGGGGCTTAGTGTTTGTAATTAGGGTTTCTGGGTGTTAGAATGCTGGACCGTCAACTGCAACATGGAGTTTGGGATTTTGTTTTTAGCAGTTCCATAGGCATCCCCTCGCTCAAGGAAGAAGACCCCAAGCCCCTCAAGAAGAATACTTCCGAGTAGATGTTATCCTGCACTGGAAATATTTGTTGTTGGGAGGGGGCCGTGATGGTTCTGATATCAGAGGGCGGGGATTGATTGAGAATTGGGGAGTGAGTATGGTAATACGGACGGTCTCAGGGGCGTACAATCAAACCTATTTTTGGATACATGAAAATGTTGATGTGGACGGGGACTAGTATCCACACTCCCGACCCAGCATGAGAAAGAGGAAGCTTTCAGCGAAATGGTGGAAAGCCAGCTGTGGCAGCGGAGACACCGGGCGTATGGTGACGAGGGTAGCCGCCTCTGGGATCAAGCGGAAGACTGGTGGTATTCCGATGCTTGCTGGTTCTTAAGACTTAAGAAGAAGGAATGGAGATATGGATGCGGATGGTGGCCTTATATATTCCCAATAATGTAATAAGTTCCATGTTCTTTCTGATTCCTCTTAATTAACAATCAGCAAGGATGAGGCTACAGCATATCGAGAGGGCCCACCAGAGCCACAGCAAGAGCTGGTCAAAGATGTCCTCCTACCTCAGCAGAGCTTGCTCCATCCCTGGAGATTTCTGCGTCCACCACAAGATCCTGGAGCCAACCTTGCCAGGGTAGATGTGGAACTCAGAGTCTCCAGGCAAACCTTGCCCAAGCTGCTTCTAAAGGCAATGGACCGCATTTTGGTTCTTGGTCAGTGAAGGAGAAGCGTTTCTAGTCCCCCTTAAGTAGATAGAATATGGTGTTGGGCATGTTATAATAGGATCCCCATATAACCCATATTCTATCTACTTAAAGGGGGACTATACATTAAGACGAGATGAAACGGTGCAAGCAGGTTGCGGGGTGAGTAGTGTTTGGCCTTATGGCGATGTTGAACGTCAAAAGCACTGGTGAAGAGGAGGCTGTGGTGACATGACGATCGGAATCCTGAGCATTTTGCCATCCCGTTCTGTCTTATTTGTCTTTTGCGCGGCATAGCAAGCCACTCATTCATCCGCTGTTGGCTTGAAGTCATTAATTACCGGTAGTCAGTAAGGAAGATAGGAAAGGCTGCCATAAGATCCCGGAGAATGACGTAATGCAGTAGTTTCCAATTTCCTTCATTCCTTGGTTCCCAACTTGTTAATGAGGCCTAAACCCTAAACCCTAAACCGTAGTAAGACTAAGGCTCACCAACTGCCAGACCTCCCGTTCAAGTGCTTTATGCAAGCAAGTGTGGACTTCTGCCGGGACGAGGGTCCGCCTTTGCTAAGCGCTACTTGAGAGCCTCGGTAATCCATGTACAGTTCCTACATGGTAGTTTCCCGAAATGAGGGTACCCCCAATATAGACCCCAATATACTTAGTCCTCATTATAAAGATCCCAAAAAAGGTACCCCTAATTTTGGGATGACATGCCTCCAAGCAACAGTTTCCGTATTCTAAACTGTTAACCCAGTGTCCTGTAGGCGAGCGGGTGCCAAGTGTACACATTACCAGCAAGAGAGGGCGGCCAGACGAGCTGGTATTGCCGCCTGGATTGCAGCTTGATTCTTTCAGCCGCAGGTATTATTAATATAGTTTCTTGGGGTTATATTGGAATAATGGAAAATGAAATGGAAACTTCTATAGTAGAATTATATAGGGATTATTGTGGCAAACAACAGGACATATCTGCATGCCGTAGCCTTTGCACATGGACATCGGCAGATACGCACGAATACCAATTGTCCCGTGTCAGGCTTCACGTGCCGAATACCTGCTTGACATGTATGGCCAACTTGTTGGCAAGCAGGTTGGATGCTGCATCCTTGGACAACCTGCGGCCCGGCGATATCGTGGTACCGAGACGAATCCTGGAGGTAAATGGCCGCGTATTGGGCACAGTAGGCTGGGAAGAGCCTTGGCAGAGACAATGTCGGCCGCCAGGAAGTTAAGAGTTTTGAAAACATTCCTGACCTAGTAGGCATTCCTGAATAGAACCCCATCATCTCAACCTTGTACTCCCTGCCCGCGGCCCGTAAGGTCCCAGTCTTCAGAGTTCCCTCATTGTCATGGGTATCAGCGCAGGCATCCTGCAAGGCCCATAATAGGAAGCCTTCATCTTGACATTGGCTAGCAACAATCCTTGCTTCTGCCATTGCAACTTCGTCCATCATCAGACTTGCTTCAGATATATATATATAATATAGTAGTTACCATTTTCTTTTCCATTATCCCAATATAACCCCAATATAACCTACATGCCTTAGCTGAGGATGTTGCTTTGGCGCTCCCACGGCCATACGACATGTTTGTATCAGCCTCAGCTGCTCTCACAGTCCTTTAGAGTCCAAGCTCCTTAAAGGGGGTAATATAGGGGATTATATAGGCGGAGTATCCTAGGGCTTTTTAAGGGGGATACTCGGAGTTTAGGCTATGCCTCAGCTGCTCTAGGAATTTATACACACATGGCAGTATAAACCCCAACATATTCTAAACTGGTACAGCTTTTTTGTGGAGCTACAATCCCTTGTTGAGCTACATACAATCCCTAGAAATGACTATACACTCCCTGTCCATTTTATTTTCCATCTTTTTTTCCATGTCTGTGATTGTCCATTGTCGGGGGCAATACCCCAAGTTTGGGGAAACCTCCACATGGAAGAGCAGGATGCGCAGCTCCGCGGACCAAACATCCAGTCCTCCAGCAAGCTTGCAGTCGCCTGGGACCGCTGACGGCTTGTTGAGGGATGCTGCTGTTACTGTACGGGGCGCTGCCTCGTTTGAATTCGAGACTGATCCTTTTACGTAGGCATGAGGGAAATGACATGAGAAGTCAAGCCCTGGGATTTGAGCACTTTGGCGATCGCTTCGAAACGTATGCTGTTCGCAGGATCTCACAAACTGCCTCGCCACGGCTCAGATTCAAGTGGTTTGGCCTGGTTCCCCGCATGTGCTAGTCGTGAATCTGCAAGGCTGGGACAGTGGACGAGCACTGTCGTGACTAAGCCGGTGAACCGCAACACAGCACAGCACGTCCTGTTTCCTTGTAGTGGGCAGGTTCGTCGGAGGATTGCATGACTTCGGAAGATGCCACCAACCGACTCCTAGCAGCAGTTGTTTGGAGGGTCAGAACAGGGCCTGGCATCAGGCGCCACATAGCCTCAAGCACGGACCAGAAGTGGAATTATGGTCATGGTTCCTCACCAGCAACCAGCAGTGATGTATGCGTTGGCGGTCAGGATTGATAGCCGAGCTCGACCGCCACCGCCGCATGTCCTGCCAGTATTTGCGCCATCTTCGGCTGCGTGCACAAGCTTGGGAAGCATGACCGCAAGTAGTTTCAAAATTGCTGATTAAGGGCAGTGGCGATCTCTTCAAGTAGTTTCTCTGTCTTGTTTTCTAGGAATTGCCTAGGGATAGTGGTGTCTACTATACTACTAGGGTTGTGAGTGGAGCTTAGGACATAGGATACGTAGGGAATGAAGGTGTGGAGCAGGAGATGGAAACTAACTAGTACGTTAGGGTCTGAAGTTTTTGCTGGTAGGGTCCCATATTACTATTACCACGCACCACTACTGCAGTTTATAGCTTCATGCAACCTGTAACGATGGCATGATACTAATACTAATACTAATACTAAGTTTAATATTAATACTAAGACATACTAATACTAATACTAATACGAATAAGAAGTTTCCATTTTCTTTTCCATTATCCCCATATCACCCCAATATACTATAGTAGCTTCCATTCTCTTTTCCATTATCCCTATATAACCCAATATACTATAGTAGCTTCCATTCTCTTTTCCATTATCCCTCTCTAACCCCAATATACTATAGTAGTTTCCATTTTCTTTTCCATTATCCCTCTATAACCCCAATATATACCCCCAATATATATACCCTATAATCCCTATATAACCCCTATATAACCCCCTACATACCCTATGGATCCAAATAGCTCATAGGGGCACGAGAGTCCGTGAATCGGAACCACCACGCCCGGTGGGTCCCAGCCTCACCTTGGCGAGACATCTCTCAGGGTTTAGGGATTAGGGTTTGGGGTTTGGGGTGTAGGGATTAGGGTTCAGGGATTAGGGTCTTGGGGATTAGGGTTTAGG